CGCACAGATTAAACATAAACATAAATGAAACATCAACCGTTATATGTTTCTGTGATAATATGTTTTATATTTCTGTATATTTCTATACATTAGCAAACCGAAGTCTAAATATTTATTTAAAAAGTATTGACGACMAATTCTCTGGCCAGTTGTGTCCATCATGTTTCTTTGAAATATGACAAATACACTTCTTTGGATATGGTATGTGTGCTATACTATGCTAAGTTTTTATGAAACTTTATATAATTTATAATATAATTTATTGTTATGTATTTATTTACTTCAGGGGCCAGGGTCATACATTTAATGTAGCTACAGGCAGTAACATGTTATGTTCAGAAAAAGAGTATTATATGTATATGCATACTATGCATTTATTTTATTATTGATGTCATGTTTTTTATACTAAAAATGTTTTAGAAGAATCAATCAATTACATAGATGGAGTCAGCAGAGTGGCATGAGACCGTTTTTGTGATTGGTAAAAGAACAAATGCTGGAACATTTGACAATGGGAATTGCAAAGTATTTGATAAAAATGGATATCGTTGGATAGTTGATCAACAGTTTTATAAAAGTTTAGAATTACCTGAAGATCCGTGTAAATGGGATCAGGTTGGTATTTAATAATAAATAAAAATAAGTAAAGTTAAACAGTATACTTTTATATTTGATTGAGTCATTTAAAAATATATAGTATATTATATAATATATTTAGAGATAATAATTTAATATTTAACTAGCAAAAGAAAAATTATAATTATCTTCAGTACCTACATTACAAGTTAATTTTCAACATGATAAATCTTATTATTTAGAATATTCAGATATACTGAAGAAGTCTAATAAATAATATTTTTATGAAGTATTAAACTRATAGGTACATAGTTTCAATTATTTGTTTATAAAAGAAAGTTTTGATTTTAATTTAATTTGTAAGTTACTTTTTAGCCAATTATTTATTTTTAATTAAAATAATTAATTATTCAATAAACAACACTTTTTTGTTATTATTAACTAATTAAAGTATAAAGAGATAGACTGTGCTTAGAGAGAGAGAGAGAGAGAGAGAGAGAGAGAGATCTCATATAACCATTAGGCAGTCTTATTATTATATGTCTATGGTATACATTACTTAGTAAAACAGTTGTAGTCTATAGGTAGGTATTAATAAAATAAAAGATTATCTTGATATTCTATTAATTTATCTAGGTGCAAGTTTGTATTTGGATGAAATGGGCTAAAATTGAATACAACTTAACTGATTTAAATATCACTGAATTAACAATAAATGGAAAACAGTTAACTTCAGACAATTTTTGTTGGAATATTACTGGTTTAGAAGATAAGCGTTCAAACAATGATTTTTGGACGCACATTTGTCTGCTTAAAACTATGCATAAAGTATACATTAAACAAAATAACGAAGAATTTATCAATATCCCAACACTTCTAAATTATAAAAACGAAATGTATTCAAATTCTGATTTCAATCATAATGTAGAAATTTGGCAATTTTTACTAAATTTATTAACAGATATTGAATATCAAAATGTGATTGAATGGATTGATAATGAAGGAACATTTAAAATAAAAAATCCAAATACTGTTAGTATCATGTGGGGTTTAGTTAAAAATAATTGGAGAATGGATTACAATAAAATGGCTGCAGCATTAAGATACCATTATGGAAAAGGTATTATAGAACGAGCTAAGGGAAAACATGTTTATAAATTTGCTGGTGATATAAAATCTATGATTGGTCATAATCCTATGGAAATAAAGAGTATGTTTCAACAAGAATCTAATCAAGGTACATAATAATTGTATTATATTTATTACAATATTATACTGGTATACATAAAAAAAACTAATTAACTAAATGAATCACTGAAATTTAATAGACCACTGAATCATGTCTAAGAAACCATTACTGAAGTATTACTGATTCATTAAATGTTTATTGATTGTTTATGTAACCCGGCATTATATAGTGCTATAACTGGATGAGTATTGAGTATTATATATTTCATCCACTGTGGTTATCAATAGTCACCTATAAAGCTCCAATACTCACTGAAGTTACATCTCTTTACAGAAATTATATTTATGTTAATCAATTATAATTTATATGTAAAATACAAATTATTACTTCATTCAAGTATCCAACTCATAATTTTTATAGCTTATTTTTTTTTTT